TCAGAGTGGGTTGCTGCTCCCACAACCCACTTTGGAAAATCATGGGTCCACCCCTGGTAGAAGCAACTAACTGTTTGAATCCACTCTTCATGTTACATGAGTGTAACGGGGAAATCAGAATCAAAATATCACAGCATACAGGGCATTCGTTAATGTTACACTTTTCAAGGAAGGGTCTTGCCACTGGTTTGTATAATGCACGAGTCCCTAATTTCATTTGAGGCCTTTCCACTCTACAAAGGGGAGAATGTATTGTTTCCTTAGAAGAAGCATTTACTGGCTCTTTATAATTTAGTGAGAGCAAAGCAAGTATAGAAAACACCAACGTACATTATATAGCACTGACTAATATGTCTTGCTTTGACAAGGCATATTAAGGAATGTTCTGATGCACGTTATATAAAACACATTATAATTCCAAGTCACTACCGCACTTTCCATTGTGTGCTGGTCATCCAGAAGCTAAGCATGCTTAAAGACAAAACACAAGGTTTTGAAAGACACTGCAGGTGTTAGACGCCACAACACACAGGGTGCGTCGACATGAGACACTTACTGCAGAGTTGCCTAACTAGCTGTGCAGTAAAACGTCTCTGTCTACACATGCAGAGCTATTAGGCTAGAGTAAACTAATTATCTGCCATTGGATAATACTGCCCAACGTAAGTACTATTCTACAGCAGAGTTATTTACTCTGCTGCATTGCATATGTAGATGGTGACCAGGGCCTGCCAGAGCACAAGGGTGCTACAGTGCAGGGCTGCCTGCCGGCTAGCCCCACACTGTAGCACCCTTGTGCCCCAGCCAGCCCCTCCACAGCACAATGAGCCAGGCAGGAGCTGCCCTGGGCTAGCAGGCTGACCCCTCGGGCCACCTGCCAGCTGGGGCTGTACCACCCTGGCTCAGCGTGCTACGGTCCCAGGCACTCGTGTAAATGCTGCACCCGGGAACAATAAACTCCAGGATGAACTGTGTTGGAGTTTGTTGCATCTCATGAATAGTCAAGTGTAGATGCACCCCCAAAAACTTTCAGTTCCCCGTTGTACATTTAAAATTCTTCCTCCACTCCCAGAATTTCATGGAGTCTTGTTCAGTAGTGGACAAGCCAAAGTGATGGAGACTGTGGCCCAGATGTTCAAAAGTGACAAGTGATTATGAGTTCCCAATTTGAGATGCTGTCAAAGGGCCTAAACAGTCATAATCACAAACATCTGGATGTTTTCTGATTTTATTCTACTTATAGCAAAATACCTTTTAAAAATAAGGCACTTACTTGGTCATTTACATGAACAGAAAAATGTAATCATTCAATTCTAGAGACACTTTTACTAGCATTTACCTAATTAATTACATATTTTATTTATAATTTCCCTGTGTCTGGTTGCTTAACTCAACCTGCAAAGAAGTGCAAGTGCTTCAAGGCTCTAGCCAGTTGTAAGGCAGAGTACACGAGTTTTGCCTGCATACGCAGTACACTGTCCAAATATAAACAGTTGCTTTGACTTGCCCAAAAGCTTTCCCTCCTTCCAGTATTTCATTATCAGCTGCTATACTATGACCTGTCTCCTGGGAATCATTGCTCTGCTTCTACTTATTCCCCAGTATATTATTTAAACAATGTTTTATACACATTATCAGTGGAGAGTAATGGCTTTTTTGCTGTGCTAGTTGATATGCTTTTTGATATTACTGTAGCAGCTGCATGCTAAAAACAGTAATAACCAGGGGAAAGCACTGTCCTGGGCATGTTCCCTTTCACATCAGGATATGTAACTCTTATCCCTCATCCTTCAATTTGTAAAAGAATAATATTACTGCAACATTATGAATGTGTTTCTGGTAGGGAGGAAGAGAATGGCTCCAGTATACTGCATGTACTTTTTTCATTGGGGTTTTTGTGCAAGGAAAAAAGAAATAATTGGGGCTTTTTTAATGATAACGTAATGCTAATTAAAATATGCATTAGCCTGAACTCTTTGAATGTGACTGTTGTATAGCCAAGTACTTTGAAATCAAGTTGTTAAAGCAGAAGGGACACTTACAACTGAATGCATACTTTGAGTCATGCAAAAAATATGGATCTGTGATTAGGAGAAAGGAGGCTACCAGTAAAGCAAGTTAGGAATTAGCAAACTAGTTCAGAGTCCTGGGTTATGCTGTACCCATGATGAAAAAAATTTTACTAAACAGAGGGATGAAATACTCATCAAATTCTCTACTGCATCTGCTCGCACAGTTTGTAAGTTGGTAGACACAATATCTGGATAGCATCCAAGGGGAGGAAGTAGATTTGAATTGTTCTTCCACCAAGATTGATTCCTTACACAGTAGACCATGAGTCCCAAAATTAAGAATCTCAAAGACTGTTCCAGAGGTATCCTTTCCAGGAGGCCTCCATGTAAATCTCCCCAGCTACCTTAAGAACTGAGCTGTAACATGCTGTATTTCAAACTAAAGAAACTAGTTTGAAATAGTTGAGGATATTTGCAAGGGAATTCATAACTTGGTGATTTTTAGATACCTCCGTTTAGACTTTTTTGTGTCATCTGTTGCTTGTTGTGATTGAAAAAGTATTGAAACCATATTTGATGGTGATTGGGCTAATAATCGGTTAAACTACAAGATTAGCAGATAAAAGTGGTATTCAGAGTGGCAGGTATCCAGGTTGTAGCCATATTGGTCTAGAGGAAAAGGCAGTCAGGTCTCGTAGGAGAGATGGTATCTTTTATTAAACCAACAAGATTTTTGCCCCCAAAAAAGGTTTTTCAAGTAAAGAATTTTTTTTGCAAAAATCTTGTTGGTCTAATAAAAGGTATCATCTCTACTACGAGTCCTGATTGCTTTATTCAAGGTGGCTACATTTATTCCACCCACTATAACTCTAGGCAGGATCTTTCCAATGAAATTGCCTCTTCCCCTTAATTGTATTTGCGTTTTCTCTGCCACAAGGCTCTGGATGAGGGCGAGGGAGCAGGATCTCTTTCTTCAGATGCATGGCAGAGCAGTCAGTTCAATAAGAAAACAAGTCAGTCAGATGTTATTGGCATGACAAACTACACAAGTGTTGCCAAAGCAGTCCTGGGGGGGACAGATGAGGGGGAATGTTTTATCTTTAGAAAGAAAGAAGCAGCCCTCTCGGGTATTGGTGAAAGATGGGTATGATTTTACACGGGGTAGGTTTTCAAACTATTTGGCAGATAAGGGGTAGCCAGACCTGCCAGCAGGATGTCCCATGGTGATGTCACCTCTGCTGCCTTTGTCTCCCTGCTCCAAGATTAGGCACCTTTCCCTTGTTGCTCTCTGATTAGATTGTCTCAAGGTTTCTCATAAGTGGAAGAAATCTATTTCTCATGTTCCCCATATATTTTGGATCCAGGAGTAGATAGCATTTCTCTGTCTACTGCCACATTGTTTTCTCAGTCATTCCTCTCTGGATTTGGGGCTGTGTTTTATGAGGGTGAGCGATATCCCAGTGCTATGGAAGATTTCCACTCTGTTGCCTTCTCCTAGGAGCCGATTTATGGGATAGAAAGTGCACTGTTCCTCCAATGGATATTTGCAGGGAAGAAGTTCTTCTTTTGCATATCCTACCTACCACCTGAGGAATAGGGGGGAGTACAGTGGGATGGTGGCCAGGATGACAGGTAGTGAAATAAAGACGTGTTGGGAATGTAAAGAGGCCAGCTGACCATTTCTCAGGAACCTCCATGTGCAACAGATGAAGAGCCTGGGCTCTTTGCATGATCAGCTGGAGGCTCCATGTACTGTGGTACTTTTTAGCAAAACCCAAGTATATGTGCTGGTCTAGTGGTGTAAGTGCTGTTGCCAAGAAAACTTAACTTATTTCACTCAAGGGACTGGCAAAAGTAATCTTACTGATATCAGTCACATCTCCACAAGACGTGTTTGATGAGGTAGCTACCCTGGGAAGCATTTTCCCCCTGCCCATTGCTCTGTACAACTCCTGAGAAACCACCAGTGACCCCTTTCTTGCCTTCTGCTCCGTGTCTGCGGCCCCGCTAGGAAATCTGGAGCTTTCTCGTGCACGGTGCTCCAGATTGAGTTGCTGCTCTGTTCCTACGTCTGGCTTTGCAGTGCCATTTTACTGTAGTCTGCGTTGTTTAAATAATTATAACAGGAGGTTGAATTGTTGCACGTGTTATTTTTATGTTTGTCAAACTCGAGTTAAACAGAAACAAAGCCAGTCGTGCACGTAAACGCTGTCTGAGGGGTTGGTAGATAATACCGTTTAAAAGACCCCTGCAGTTTTTGACCTGTTCTCAGCCCAGATCACTTTTCTCTAGTTAGTGCGTGAGCTCAGAGTTTAGTTTGGACCTAGCTCCTGAACACAGCTGCCTGTTTGGAAACAAGCAGACTCCTTTTTAACCTGGTGGTCGTTTCGCTTTTTGTGCCTGGGCTCATGAACAGCAGATTGTTGTTTTGCTGTATGGCAAGACAAAAAGGAAACATGGCAGCCTGGCTTGAGGGGGTGGGGGCCGCAGGAAGGAGGCGAGGGTTTGGCTGCGTGAAGCCTACAGTCCTTCCCCGTGTCCGGGTGAGTCACGTACGCTCAGCCTGAATGAGTCACTGGGCTACGGCCTTTCTCCCTGATGCAGTCCCTGGGGCCTAGTCCGTGGCTCCAGTGACTGCAGCACCAGTAACGATAGTGAGCATCGCACCCCCGCACGGCCCGAGACCACTTCCGACAACAGCCGCGCCTGCAAGGGGGGCTCAGTCGTCTCGGCTCCGGATGATAACGAATGTCAACAGCCGAGGCCGGGTTATGGTGAGGGAGGTTGTGCATTTACTGCAGTCAGTCTGGCAGGATAAATTTGTCTTCTAGATATTGTGCACATATTCATGTGTGCGCACAAGTGAGTACATGCACACATGCATATGTGTTTATATGCATATACATGTACACACGGGTGTGAGTGTGTGAAGGCATGGGTAATAAACCAAAGTTATGCAGTGATGCTCAACTTTTGTTTTCCACGCAGATTTGCTTGTTGCTGTGAGACAACCCTAAACTGCAGCTGAGTGAGCGAGTTTCTTGTTTTTTTTTTCCTCCTTGTTTTGGAAATCGTTACTAGTTACAGAAACAGCCATCTGCAGGTAAAATCTGTTGATTCATGCTAGCAAGCTGCCGTTCTTCCTTGTCCGTTGATCTAGCTAAACTTTACAGCACAGGAGAATCTGTTACGGCTTCCATTTCGGGGGAGGAGACAGCAAATCATTTAACAACTTTGTCAGGAGGGACCTCGCAAGGCTAAAAGTCATTTTTTGTAGGCTGTAATGTCCTGACAAGATGCTTCCTTTGGAAAGCGATGAGTTGCTTCTGTTATTTTCTCTGACATTCCTAGTGAAAAGCTATGAAATTAGATGTGGCAGTCCCTCCAAATTCATACGGTGTCATTCTTTGAGATCTGGCATACGCGGTCCTCATTTAGGATAAGAACTGACTGGTAGCTTGAGGGCAGGTGAGGGCTTCTTAGCAGCTTTATATTCATTTATCTCCAAAAGATGTGAACCAATGTATCAGGGGGCCTGGCATCTGGGAAGTCTGAATGTATGACTTGGCTGCACTTCAGACATCCCATCCCATCGAGCCAAGCCAACACTGGATATGTTTTCCTCACCCTGACAGCAAAAGGCAATCTATGCATCAGCTGGTTTGAGATGCATTTCCAGGGGCTGTAGAGACTTGTGTCCTATTTTCCCCTCCTCTTGCAGGCAGGCTATCTGTTGTAAAGGTCAAGGAAAGGCAAACTCCTGTGGTTCTGTGTGCTGTCACAGAGATCTCACTGAAGGCTGGGATGGGGGAGAGCCACAGGGCTAGACCTCCGTGAACCTTTTTCCTGCAAATAAACACCTATGATCAAAGTGGCATTTACATTTTACAAGTCTCCAAAGGGAAGCATTTGACTTGTCTGTAATTTGCAAGGAGGATCATGATTCCCTTTGAGCAGGACAACTTTAAAAAAAAATGGGTTTAAAAAGAAGAATAATCTGCCATAAAATTCTATGAATGAGCTTTTCCAGATCAAGGCCAGGAGAAGGTTTGCACAGTTTTTGGCCTTACAATTTTAGCTGAAGCTGTTTTCTGCCTTTTCCTGTATCTATTAGTGTCATCCCACCACTGTGGTGTCTCTGTTCTTCCCTCTATCTGCGCAGCTTCATGTACCCACACTCTAGATGCATTACCCATGAAGAGCGGATGGGCTAGTGCAGTCACTAGAGAATGGGTCATGTTTTTTAGAGAAGGGGAACCACAGACCAACTTGAAGGCTGCTTCCACATGTTAAAAAAATGGTGCTTTGCTTAACCTCGGTGCATTCCTGCACCAAGCCCAGTGCTTGCCCAGAGTGCATTAGTTGGACCCGGCTCGCCCAGCATCTAGATAGATCAGGTGCTTTAGTGGGGCTTTTTTGGTGCTTTTATTTAATAGCTGATTGAATCATTTTTAGATAAAAGCGCCAAAAAGCCCCACTGAAATGCCTGATCTATGTAGACGCCAAGGAACCTGGTTGAAGTAATGCACTGCTTCTTCTGGTAAAGTGTGTTTTATTTTTTTTAATGTCTGCAAGCAGCTGAAAAGAGTTGGTCTAACTTTCTAACTGATTAAACCAAGGGTGTCAAATTTACAATCCGTGGGCTGGATTTAGCCCACAGCTCTGTGTCTGTGCCTGGTTGAGGCGTAGGATTTCTGGCATAGGACTTTTATGTGATAAAGTAACCCAAAGCAAAGAGCAGAATATTGTAAGGGAGAGAGACTTGTGGATGGAGCATAGGACCAGGATTCAGAAGGACATTCAGAAGGTTCAGCTGGTGGTGTGGTGGGGACCTTGGGCAAGTCGCTTTGCTGCTTTGTATCTGTTTCCCCACCTGTAAAATGGCAAGAATGACATTAACCTCATTGTAAAATGTGTTGAGGTATACAGAAGAAGAGCTAGGTAGGAGAATAAATTAGAGGAGAATAAATAGGGGGAGATGAGCTGGAAAGCTCCCTTCTTTATTTAAAATAAGAGTAGTGGAATTATAGAAGTGACTGTGAAGTGTTCCTGCCTAGGCTGAAATCTGTGATCTCACCGATGTGTAAACACGTGTTTCCTTTACAGGCAGATCTAAACATGCCCTTTTTGATGGAATAACTTCCACACAGGAGGGTGATGAGGGGCTGAGCACACTAGATCTATTCCAGTTTCTGTCTAACAACCTCTGACCTCCTCCAGTGGTAGAGACAGATTTCCTTGCTGTAACAACTTGCCTAATTCTGAGCAGGTTTGAATAAAATAGTGATGGAAATGCAAGAGCTGTGTTTACACGGGCACCCAACTGATGCTACCAGGAGGGTTCAATAGAGCTCCAGTAACAAGAATGGTGTGCGATTACTAGTAAAGACCATGTGCAGCCTGAATTCTTCCCCCATTGTGGGTTACAAATCATGGGTCAGTCCTAAAACGCCCAACACTTCAGCGTATCCTAGCAGATGCTACAAAACTTTGGGAAACAGGCCGTGTTTCCTTTCTTCTGTATATTGGTGTTCTCAAGAGATGTGACATAAGTCTTGTTTTGGCAAAACACTTAAACACATGCTTAGCCGTAAGTGTACACATAATCCCATCCCTATTCCACAAAGCCTGTAAAAATGGACTTAAATAGATGATTAACATTAAGTATGTGCTTCATTGTTTTGCTGAAGAGGGGCCTCTATGTATTAGCCTCCTTCCTCAGCCCGCCAATGAATGATCTGTGTTAACATGTCGAATTCATGCCCTTCCAGCCTAATGAAAGTAAACAGAGGAAGTTGACTGAGCACAAGATTGCATAGATTTACTTACTCCAAGATTGCTACAATGTAAAAAGCATCATCTTCTCCACACTGTAGCATTGCCATTTAAAAAACTGGCATTTAATGAGGACATATAGTGGATCACAAAAACTGATAGGTAAAGAATGATCTCATTTGGCACTGAAATGGATGTGCTGTTTGAGCTGGAATGAAATAGCTGTTAACATTGCACAAGAGAATAGTTATCCCAGGGCAACCTACAGCCCTCAAGCTGGTTCTGGCCCACAGAGCATTTGATCTGGCCTGCAGATGTGGGGCTTCAGCAGCTTTCAGTGGCAGGGGGCTTTGGCTACAGTTGCTATCCCCATGCTGCTGCAGAGAGAAGCAGTAGCTGCAGGAGCTCTCCTTTGGGCTACTTTGTAGAAATGAAGCAGCAGTGACTGGGTCCTGATACCTACCCACCTCAGACCCGAGCTGGGTCATTCTGGCCCTCAGCCTGAAAACGTTGCTGGCCACTGCTGTATCCAGTGGAGATGAAAGTAGGATTCTGCATTGTTAGCTGATTTGGATTCCTCCAGTATCTTTAGACACTGGATGCCTTTTAGCATTTCAAACTACATGGTTAAAAAATTGAAAATGTGCCAGCACTGCCGTTTGATCCTTATATTAACCAATTTCAAATTCTCCAATTAGTAGACACTTAAAAAGGTGTTCGCTTACCCATGCACTTCACAAGAACCAATTTCATAAGACCTTGCTCCACTCTCCAGTCCCTCCATTAATAAACCACCCTTCCTGACCGCCTGTTATGAAGTAGAGCTTTGCAGAAGGCACAGAAGTTAGTTTACAAAATCCAGGGTATGCCAAAGGAAATGCAAGTTTGAATCCACAGGGGGTTTCAGCAGAGTTTGTGCCTTTTCTAAGGATTTGGGAAAGCACAAGAAGATGGGCTCCCCCAGACTATTTAGCTTGCAGTAGGTACAGCTGCCTGGATTCACTCTATGTAGTGATGAGAATTCCTCCCTGGAGGATGCTCCACTCACAACATAGGCAGCCATGTCCTGTGCTAAATTAAGTCTCTGAATAGTCCCAGTATGAACCAACGATAACAAGAGAAAAAATGATCTGCACCTCAGTGGACATGTCTACATGTGCATTAATGCACTGCAATTACAATGCAGTAATAACACCTGTAATAACAGGTGCTAACAATGCACAGTAATTGGCACTACTGCATAGTAGTGCTGGCACACGTCTTTTAAGTGACACTAGTGCACAGTAGACTAATTCTAGTGCACTTTTAGCGTCTCATAGATATGCCCAGAGATGTATGTTTTGTAACCACTATAGCTTGAGCCACTGGAAATGTAAAAGGGAGTCAGCCATTTTATAAATGCTATTTCTTAACTGTGTTACCTGAGCTTAAGTTTTTCTTAAATAACCTGGGGCAAGTTTTTCCTCAAATTTACACTGGTATAAATTCATTAGAAGTGATGTTGGTGCGTGGGATTAATCTGGTGTTATATCTGTAACAGAGCAGAATTTGGCCCTTGAGACTGACCTTTCAGTAGGAGTTTCGGGTTCTCAGCACCTCTGAAAATCAACTGTTTGTGTCTCCACACAGATATTCTGAGAAAGTTTCTGTGTTCCTTTAAGAACTCCCATCTTCTTGCAAGTGAAATCTACACTGACATCAATATTTTTAAGTACATGAAAGTGTCGTGACAATTATATTCCACCCCCTTGATCAGCACAGATAGTTCATAATACAGCTTGTGTCATTTTGTTCTTGTCTGCTATTGCACTGACTGGTGTTGATGTCATGTTTTTTAAAGAAAAAGAAATAAAACATTATTTAAAAAAATCCTTACATCCTCAGGGCTTCAGAAACCTACAGCTGCTCCTTGAAACATTTAAAAAGAGCTGAGGAAATACTTTTAGAGCATTTAGGCCCTTGGCAGATGTTAATTTAATGGTACTGTGAATCTGATTCCTGATCCCAACAATTGTACATTCTGGCATGCCACATATGTATGGCAGGGCAGGTGATTTGGGGGATCAGGGATCAGATCCCAATTGCTTTCAACTTAGCAGCCCATGTAGAATGTGGGATCCTGATCCCAGGCTCCAACTGCCCTGACAAGTTGAAAGCTGTGTACTGGGCTGCCCAGCATGGGGCTCTGCAAGTGGGAGGCAAGGGGAGCCAGCCAGCTCCATCTGCTCGGAAACTCAGGAGTCCTGCACGCAAGGCTGCTGATGCCTGGCTTTGTGTTACCTAGCAATGGCAGACCCCTATGCAGACCTCCTAGTTAGAGACCCTGGGCTGCCCTCTTCCTCGTGCTGACAAGCAACTGGTCAGGCCAGCCCCCACTCTGGAGCCAGGCCAAGGCTGCCCCATTCGAATACCAGTAATCAGCAGATTGTCAGCATGGGGAGGAAATATGTTATACATTCAGTTTGAGGTGCATACAAACCAGCCACAAAGATGTTCTGCATATAATGAATATTTTTGTGGCTGGTTTACCATTTTATAGTGTCATAAATTTTCTGAATGTGTGGCACATTGCCATGTATGGCATGATTAACGTGCATTGCCTGGTGGGAGCTTCTAGAAAACTCTCCCACCTGTGCTTGACTTTTTTCAGTAGAAATTATTCCTGAAGTAAAGTTTAGTTATGTGACTGTAACATACAGCATCTTTACATAAGTCGATGTATCTATCACTTGTCTATTTTAACTCGCTATAGATAGAGGCACGGGATTCTGAAGCGGGGTCTGTGTATAGTAGCCGCTCGTCTTGCCCTCTCTCTCCTTTCCTTTCTGTTTGTTACAACCACAAGAAAGATATGCACCTTCTTTCTTTATTTAGAAATCCTTGTTGATTTATATCCACCCTAATTTCATAGTCCTATTTATGATTTGAGCCCCAGGGAAAAGTAATTAAGTTTAATATTAACCGCACTCAATTTTAAATCTGCAGGCTTTTTCAAAATAATAATTAATAGAAGCTGAAGCTTCTAAAAAAAGTTACAGTATTTATAGATGTAGCATCTCCTTTGCCCAGCTAAATGTGTTGGTTTTCTAATAAGCATTCAGACTGTGTGTCCTATCTTTGTTTTGAGGCCATTTTCTAATTTCAGTGCCTTACATGCTAAGATTTTCACTCTCTTTATTTTTTGTGGGCCTGATTCTGCCACTCAGTTCATTGGGAAGAAGGATACACAGCCTTGTCCAGGCTTGGGTAGTCTCTTGGGCGATGGATTTCTTTTTAAAAATATAAATAAGACTAATTGTGTTTGTTTTGTTCTGCAGGTGTTTGTAATGCAACCTAATATGTCTGGTGCTTGGAGCTGACACAGCTGGTGCCGAAATTCTTTTGGGAACATAACAGACTACCACGTTCACAGGAAGTTGAAGACATCTGAGAAAGTGGCTTTGGCTTCATCCATATCTGCAAAAAAAAGAGACCACCATCTGAAACAGCCACGCACTATAATAGCTGCCATGGCAAGCAAAAGGAAGTCAACAACTCCATGTATGGTGCGAACCTCAGAAGTAATGGAGCAGGAAGTTCCTGAGGATGGAGAAGCCCTTAAGGAAAGGAGTGCAGGCATCTCACAGCAGGACTCTAAAGATGGCTGGGTGGCTGATACAGAAAGCTCTGTAAAAGATTGTGAGGTGGTAGAGGGGAAACCTCCAGTTGAGAGTCAATCTAAGAAGCTGCAAGGTGGTTATGAATGTAAATACTGTCCTTACTCAACACAAAACTTAAATGAATTTACAGAGCATGTTGACACTCAGCACCCAAATGTCATTCTCAACCCTCTCTATGTGTGCGCTGAATGTAACTTTACAACCAAAAAATATGACTCCTTATCTGACCATAACACAAAATATCACCCAGGAGAGAATAATTTTAAACTTAAATTAATCAAACGCAATAATCAAACTGTGTTAGAACAATCCATTGAGACAACAAATGATGTCCCTATTGCAAACAGCGGCCTAGAAAATGCGGAGTGTGATGAATCCCTTCATGGTGGGATCAGTGTAAGTAAAACCCCAATCATGAAAACAGGAAAACCAAAAGTGGAGACCAAAAAGGGCCCCAAGAAGCTGGAAGAGGGAGCTATGGAAAACCATGTGGATGGGCACCTCCCCCAAGTCATTACAGAAACCACCGAATCTATTGCTTGTATCAATGGAGCTGACCTGCTGCATGACGTATTGGCTCATGTTATGCCTTCTGTACAGCTGCCACCAAATATCAACCTTGTCCCCAAGGTCCCGGTCCCTCTGAACAGCACCAAATACAATTCTGCATTGGACACTAATGCAACCATGATCAACTCCTTTAATAAATTCCCTTACCCAACACAAGCAGAGTTGTCATGGTTGACAGCAGCATCAAAGCACCCAGAGGAGCAAATCAGGATCTGGTTTGCTACCCAGCGTTTGAAGCATGGCATAAGTTGGTCCCCCGAAGAGGTAGAAGAGGCAAGGAAGAAGATGTTTAATGGTACCATCCAGCCAGTACCTCAAACAATCACAGTATTGCCAGCACCTCTGACAACTGCAAAAATGTCTCAGCCAATCATCCAGACTGCTTTGCCCTGCCAGATACTGGGACAGACTGGCCTGGTTTTGACTCCAGTGTCAAATGGATCGACAGTTTCCTGCTCACCAATTACACTTGCTGTTGCTCCTAATCAAGGACAGAAACGGACAACACAAAACCTACCGGGCGCTCCAGAATCCAAGCGCCCACATGTAGTTCAGGTGCCTGAGGTAACGACCAAGGCAAACGCCGCATCGTTGACACCAACAAATGAGCGAAAAAAGACCAAGGAGCAGATAGCAGAGCTAAAGGCCAGCTTTATCATGAGCCAGTTTCCTAACGATGCAGAAGTCTATAGGCTAATAGAAGTTACGGGTCTCTCCAGGAGTGAGATCAAGAAGTGGTTCAGTGATCACAGGTACAGAAGTCAAAGGGGCATTGTTCACATCACTAGCGAATCCTTAGCGAAAGATCAGTTAGCAATTGCAGCTGCACGCCATGGGCGTACATACCGCACATACGCAGATTTCACCACCCAGAGGTTCAAAGAGAAAACACAAGAGCAGCTTAGAATCCTGGAAGACAGTTTCCTTAGAAGTTCTTTTCCGACCCAAGGAGAACTGAACAGGCTTAGGACAGAAACCAAGCTGAGCAGAAGAGAGATCGATAGCTGGTTTTCTGAGAGGAGAAAGCTAAGGGATAGCATGGAGCAAGCTGTCTTAGACTCAATGGGCTCAAACAAAAAAAACAAGGATCGAGGCACCCACAATGGTACAATAAGCCAGAGTGAGCTGCTGAATAGCTCCCACCTACCCAGTTCGCTATCTGGATCTTCCATAGCATTTAATGAAAAAACCCAAGAACAAATTCATCTACTGAAGAGCACATTTGCAAGAACCCAATGGCCATCACCGCAGGAGTATGACCAGTTAGCAGCACAAACTGGGCTCACTAGAACTGAAATAGTCCGCTGGTTCAAGGAGAACAGATCCTCTCTAAGAATGGGGACATTAAAATGGATTGACCAGTATCAGCAGCAGTATGTTGTTGATGGTCATAATGAGCAAAGCCAGAAAAAGGGATCAAAACGCACTGAGAGTCCAAAGAATGGTAACGAGATGTCTCGGCAGCATTACCAGGAGCATAAAAGGCTGAATGAAGAGAATGTGGGTAAACTAGTGGTGAGGTCTAAAAGAGACTGTGAACCACTGAGAGACTCTTTGTTAGGGAACCAGACTGAGGGCATGGACAGATTGGAGTGCCATAGTCAAGATGGTCATGCTAGTGAGGAGAACGAGGAGACTGGAGATGTGAACTGGGTGGAGGTGACAGTAGGGGATGACGACGCTGTCTCAGACTGTACAGACAGCTGGAGTCAAGCAGCACCTGAAGGCCAAGCAGAGTTGGCAGATTTTGATTCTGAAAGTATATCTGGAGACAATTCCCACCTTTAGACAGGTAATGATGATACCGCTCTGCTTTGGTCTGAGCTGCCTTCAATCTTGGCAAGTTTCAGTGGCCACTGAGTTTTCAATTTAAATGCTAGCAGCAGGCTCCTGAGGCATGCTGGATATGAGCTGGATACTTGAGTGCAGGAGAGCTGGTCCTAAGTGTTCAGTACGGGAGGGATTCAGAGCAGGGTTTTTAGTTTCTCTCTAAGAGGTCCCTTCTGGCCCTGCTTCTCTATGATTCTGTGCATTTGGGCGTTTCGCATGTCCTGGATGAGAGAGGATGTTTGGAATCACTTATTAAGCAGAAACTTTCTGCCTTTATTTGACCTCGCATAAGCTCTTTAGAGCTTGGTACAAAGTATACTGATCAAGCCATACAAAGAAAAAGTAGGTAACCATAGTTACTAATGTCCATCTTACTCACATAATGATGATCTCCAGCGAATAAAGGCCATAGCTATTTTTCCAACAGGTCACCATGGATTTTGGCAGTGAAGCAGCCTGACCTGCTCTGTGAAGAGGTCGGGCTTCAGCGACAGGGCCCGGTACAACAATTCTCTCTTATGCAATAGCAAACAACAGAATATTGTTATAGATTGAAATGGCATGTGCAAGAGAACACCCTTTCTGCGGGGTGAGGGTGCTTTCTCCACCCTTTCTACTGTTAAAGGTATATATACAGACCAAGGAGAGACGTGCTGTTTGAAGTGCTTTAAATGCCTTTAAAGCAGGGGCGGGCAATTATTTTGGGCAGAGGGCCGCTTATTGAGTTTCAGCAAGCCATCAAGGGCTGTATGACAGGCAGCCCAGGGCAGATTAATATTAATTTTCTAAATTTTTTAGGGTCCCCGCAGGCTGGATAGAATGGCCTGGTGGGCCGCATTTTGCCCACCCCTGCTTTAAAGAGTTAGCAACAGCAAGGGTACAGACACTTGCACCCAATGAAGTGCTTCAAAAGAGCCAAAGCAATTTAAATCTGCAAAAAAATTGAAACATCTTTGAAGCGCTTCTTGAAAAGTCTGTGTCCTCCAGCTGTGTCCCACAGTGCCCGACTCCTCACCTCACCTCACCCCCTATAGGAGTGGGGAAGAGAAGGGTGGACAGCCAATTTGCAGTCTCCTGCGTGCTTAGCTGTCGTGGGAACCTCTAGAGACCAGAGCTAAGAGGCATTCAGGGATTCCTGCTCTGCAGTCCCCGTATGCCTTCATGACCATTTTGAAATGCTCCCAGGGGGAGGGAACATGAAGGAGTGGAGCCAGAGGGTGCAGCAGCACAGTCCTACCCCTTTTTGGCAATGGTGCATGTGAGCTGTCTGTGTGGGGTCTGTCAGGGAACCCCGACTTCCATATAACTCACGAGCCCTGGGGGTGAGCACTGCCACTTATACCCCTCTTTTCCCTACTTCTGAATTCTGCGGAGAGGGTGAGGAAGGGGAAGGATTAACAGCAGGCAGAACAACCCTCACCCTCCACAACCAATGAAAACAAGGGCTCTGGCCAGACCCTGCATCGAGCAGTTGCTAAAAATGTGCATATGAGATCTCAAAGTTTAAAAAGGTGCGTCATTTAAAGTCTTGGAATCCATTTCTGATCTCAGTTCTATCAGAATAATTCAATTGACTTCCTGGGCTTAAACATACTCTTGAAGTCACTGACATCTCTGAAAACTTACCCTGGTACAACTGAGATGAGAATCTGTTTCTTCAACTGGATCCTCCTTCACTTATCTAGCAGACTATTTGATAAGTACTACACTTGATTAGATAATGCCTGTTTTGGAAATAATTAACAGTGCTCTGATCCTTAATAAATGGAACCCACATGAAAGTTTAACGTGCAAAATTCAGCATATACTTAAAAATATGCAACACATCTCTCCAAGGTAGGAGACTGAAATGAGAACAATCTAGTTTTTTAAACCTGTTTAAAACTATCCTTTTTGTAAAATGAAATAACCTCAGCATTGCAAGCAAAAATTGTAAGGTGCCACAGGTATATGCAACACCCCTTATTACAGGAAATCATGAATCAAATTTTCTGAATCACAAGTACCTCAAAGCAAGAAAACAAGATCCATATGCTGCCTATGCATATAGATTGGTCAAGGAAGGGACTGTAGGTGCATTGTGGGACTGCATTGTAATGAGTAACTGGAACAGACACCTTACTCATGCTTTTCAGGCCCACTCACAATGCAGCGATGTAGCATATGTTAGAGCTGAGTTTTCTGAGTAAGAGTATTTGGAACAGCACTAGCAACATTGCTACTACCACTGCAGCAACTTTTGCTTTGGAGATGTTCTTTGTGCCACAGAGATTTGCTTGTGTGGGTTTCTCTTTCCTCCAACATCTTCTGTGTTTCCACCAGTTTACCCTTTTTTGCCAGAAAGTTTCAAAGGAGTGCTAGTAAAAGAAGCATACGTTTTGACAAAAAAGGAGTTCCCTGTTACACTGGGATCAGGTTAGTAGGAGCTTCACCTATTAGATTATTCAAGACAATAAAACTTTGCTCTGAGTCTCACTCCATTTGTAGCACATTGGGTAAAGCCTGACGCTCTTAATCTGTTTTGTTTTCCTTCACACAAATTATACTCCTGTAGCACTCAAAATGTAAGTGCCTGCCCTCTAGTGACAGAATCTGAACCTTTGACACACTTGGCACTGTCTGCTTGTCTCAAAGTACTGTACTGCTAGTATTGTTCTGGTAGCCTCTGAACTATTACTGCAAGCCCTGGAAAGTCCACACAAAGAACCCAGAGATGCAAGAGGATGATGAAGGTCATCTATCAACTATTTCAAGTGGGGGTAGAAAGACAGTAATTGTTCAGGTCTGTTTTTTTCCCTGCTGAAAAACAATTTGAAAAGTCTCCATTTGAAATGAAGAATTAAAATGTTTTGTACAATTTATTTTTATACTGAACCTAATGATTCTAAGTTACGTATTAATAGGTCAGATGTTTATGTCAGTCGTAGCAGTGTAAATTCCAGGCAGTGGGATTTCCGTGTCCTTCTGGCAGCACACAACAGCAATTTAGGGTAGAAACTGAAGATTAACGCTGTATCTAGTGAACCTGAAAGGGAATTTTTGATAGGCTGAGTATTACTATCCAAAGTAGAATTTGCCCAAGCCTCCTGCAGGTCTCGAGCAAAAGATTGATCCTTCCAGCATTCAAGCAGTCAACAGCAGGCTGGAAAGTCTGTTTTGGACTGACTTGGAATGGAAAATGCTGCCTGGTAGGAGCTGATAATGGGGAAACAGATGAGGTTTTCTAGTTCGTGCTTTGGAACCTTAGAAAAGCTCCAGTCATTACATGAAATGCTTATAGCTGAAGTCATGCAAATGTACAACTTTGCTATTTCCATTGTTGTTGTTTAACAATGGCATTGTTAAGTAATTAACTTAGTGTTGCTATGTATATTGTAGTAATGTGCAGGACTGAGAGGGACCAGTCCACTATGTCCAAAAGACATCCTGTTGAGGATGACACCCAGAAATCAAATTTTGTAGTGAGAAATTTCTAAGGTCTGTTTGGGAAGGAGGTTGCTGGAGACCAGGGATGGCAGACTTCCCCATGTAGCTACGAGTTAGCTTAGGGTTTCAGGTCCAAAGAAGTCCAAAATTCCCAGCTAAACTTCTCTTTGTGAATCCACTGGGTTATCTTCTACCTGTCATCAGAAGGCAGTGGTTTCTGCACAGCTGCTTGTAAAGCCTAAGAAGTCTGTGTTTGGGGGCATGCTTGAAGCTCAACTTACGTTTTGTATTCCAGGTTCAGGAATCCTGGCAGCTGAATACATACAAGCGGCTTTGTTGTGAACTTGTTTTGCTCTCTGAATCCACAGTGCAAGTCCATGTTTGTCATTACTTAGAGAAATTTTTGCAATAAACTAAGGACAACCAAGCTCAGAAAAATGATATATTCTTTGTCCATCCTTTAACAAAAATATAAGACAGATGCAGTGTGGGATATATGCTTCATAGCCTGCCAAGTTACCTGTTGTTTTTCAAGCAGGCCACTGAGTTTTGAACATTTCTGCAGGTTTTTCTGAAAAGCCTGACCAGAATGGGAAATGATAGTGCAGGGCAATTCCTCTGAAAGCATTCATCACCAAGTGCTGCTGATTGTCAGAACATTTGACATTTTACTTAAAGCCCAGTCTCCTAGAGTTGTTATAGCATAAGGATCTCAGCTTTTCAATTTTATTTTTTTTTAAATAGTAATTTTCTAGCCTTCCTGGGTGCCTGCAGATGTGCAGGGACACTGCTCCGACACACTATAATTACAGCGCATCAGAGCAGACTTGATTAACAGAGTCTGCTGGAGTACACTAAGTAGCATGCTCCAGCAGCCTCCGTATCTCATATATTCAACATCTCCGTGCTTCAAAATGGCAGTAGCGGCACTTCAAAGCTTGTCGAATGAGCTTTAGTCAAAGAGCCCCCTCCCACCATTTTGAAGTGCAGGATGCTGAGTGCGCCAGAAGCTGTGGGCGCTTTAATTAGAATAGCTCTAATTAAAGCACCACCCCCCACCCCTCAGAGCATGAGTAAAGATGTCCCACGTTTTTGGAGAAAAGTCATGAACATGGAAATGCTCATAGGCGCAGTGATCAGAAGGAAAATGAAAAGAACCTAGTTCTGCAAGTGGTGTGATATTTAAGGCTACCTCAGGTGATTTTGGAACTTGATTCATGCATTTTAAACGCATGGTCATAGTGGAATAGTGGCATTTTGCATCAGATGGAGGCATGAGGGGGTTCACGTCATCTAAGTTTTGCATTATGTTGTTTAGATTTCTATGTCAAAAGTGCTTTGCAAACTTTTCCCACTATATAGTTAACAAATGTAAAAGCACCTTTGGGCAGTTCATATTATCAAGTGAGACTCTCCCTAGTGCAAACAACTTGCACTACTAAAGCCCCTACTCTCAGGCCCCTGTCTCTCTCTAGAATGTATTTGCTTTTGATCTCATAGGGACAGCATGCTTGTTTAACACAAACTATGTCATTGAGTCATTGCTGAGATCTGTATTATAATAAAGAGTGCGATTTATCCTAGCAAGTGATTTGGCATCTTCTGTGAAGTGCTGGTGCCCTAAACTGTTGACTTCAGTGGAAGTTAAGGGTACCTGGTGCCCCTTAGAAACGGCCTGCAGCCATCAATTCTTTTCTCTTATAGGTGGTGTGGAAGTGGCAAATCCTGATTTATTTTTTTTTCCTTGTTTTCCCCAGTTTTATTAACGTCTATAAAACCTGGCAAATCTTAAATGTTAGGGCTTTGAGCTGTGCTAAAGTGCTTCATGACTTTGAGATCATCAGGTTTATGCTGCTTCTAAGCAGAGGGCCTCCTGAACAAAATACCTCAGGGCTGGCAGAGCTAAGACACGCAGCATTACCTCCACCCATCCTTGACTCCCCAGTTTGAATGACAATACCCATATACAGATGGGTTTTTAAGGTACAAGTCCCAGGGCAAGGCTATAACTCCCATGTGTTAAGAGCCATTGCAGGACTCTTAACTGTGCCTCATTTTAGGTCCTATATTAGTATAAATACTATATAATAGATGACTGTGCTGATTGATCATTGCTTAAATGATAGGCAGCTATCTCTGCCCAATGTAATTAGCTGCTATTCAACTGAAAACTTTAAATTAACTATGGAACTGATTAATGGTTATGAACTTTGACCCCCGTGCAGATATAAGAAGATCCTGTGCTTTTTCTCATACACAGCACTATGCTGTATTGAAAACAAATTATTTCTAATGTTAGTTTAAGTCTAGCATATTTTAAGGATATAAATCCATTCCCAAACTAATACTGAAATCTATTTAATTTAAAAGAAAAGCATTTTCAGTGTTCAGTTTTAATACTTCTGTTTTCTGCAGAATTTGAGGGGGTAACTTCTATCCAGTGGGATTAAATAGTCTGTAAACTCCATAAATGAGTCTCGATATTGTAAAGTAATTCAAGTATTTTTTATGATTTATCATTTTTACATTTATCATTCTCTTACTGACTTACTTATATAGTGTTACAAGAAGGCTGCTTATCTCAGGGAGAGGATGGGACTTTCAAAAGCACACTGTATTTACCAGGCACTCTTCTCATTAAGTTTTGCCAATAACTACCATCAGAAGAAGGGTATAGGCAACTGTTGATCCTCTGGATTATGGTGTACATGTAAGAGGTCTACCTCCTGAATCGTTTTGTGGCTGACAAACCCAATTCAAGAGTGACACAGCTTGTTACAAGTTTCACAGATTCGTATGTTGTCTGAGGTGGAGTCCGAAGGAGAAAAGCAAGGCGTTCAGTTGATGCTGCAAAAATTCCACTTGTGGAATAGAAGAAGATCCATTATTAAGATTTTTGGCCAACTCCCAACTGTTGTCAGTGGTTCAGGGTCAGATTCAGACCATAGGACTGCAAGACCCATCCCTGTGAAGGTTTTCAGTCAAGTTACTCTGAATGTATACCACCTTATACAAATGTATGAGGTCAGGATCAGGCCTGTTGACACCATGTGTGTGCATGATGAACAGAATTTACTCTTTACTTAAATACAACACAGTGGGTGCATCTACACAAGATGCTACTGTGCAGTGGTTACTGTACATTTATTTAGTACGTGTATAAGCAAGTACTAAATAAATGTGTAGTAGCTAGAATTACTGCACAGAAGTCCTGGCAACCACCTTTTTAAGCGATGCTATTGCACAGTAGCCTAATGGTACTGCGCAGTAGCATCTCAGCATGATTTTTTTTTAATCAGGCTACTGTGCAGTCATTGTCTTGTGTAGACATGCCCAGTGTGCAGCCTGTGCCAGAGAGGTTGGCAGGTGCTGCTGGTTTTCTTCATAGCACCTTTTCCCCTTGGGATGATCTATGCAATGTTTCTTCAGAACTGGAATGTTTATTTACAAAATCCATTAGGCCAAATGTGCAGGATTTTCCTCTAATGTTTGCATAACCTTCTTATTCTAGTGTTGTTCCTATAATCCTTCCCCCCGCCCCAAAAAAGAATTTATTCTTCAACTGATGAAATTTTTCCATGTGCCCTTCCTGTTCAGGGCACTTTGCTTCTCTACCTCTTTCTTAGCAGCATTGGCGTGGCAGTGAGAGCCCACTGATCCTCACATAGATATGCCAGAAGCACCATGGGAATCCCATGCAGAGAGATTTCCAGCTCACTGTTTTCCTAATGTACACATCATTATGTATCGAGCACATAGTCCTGCAGCGTGCCTCAGTTCCTGTTGACCTCAGTGAAAATCAAGGTCTCATCATCTCACCAGATCTCATCCTTGTCGATTCAGTAAAAGTATGGATGCAGTATCAGGGTTTCCCTCCCTTTTCATTCATCTTCTCATTTCTCTAATGATCTGGGCTGTACCTTAAAAGGCATCTGTATTGCCATTGACATAACTAGGCCCCCAGGACTCTCTCCT